TGTTCTCCAGAGGTCTTTCCAAAAGGAACATATTAGTTTACATTCCCACCAGCAGTGTAGGAGTGTTCCCTTTTCCCCACATCCACGCCAGCATCTCTGGTTTTGGGATTTTGTGATATGGGCTAATCTCACTGGAGTTAGATGATATCTCAGAGTAGTTTTGAATGGCAGTGGAATTGATGGCTATTGAACTCTATTCTTACAAAAGCAACTTGAATCTTACAAAAGAGCCAGTAAGTGTCACGTGCAATTATGCAAAGTTCTACTCTAAGCTGTTGCTTCAGACGTCGTGTTGGGTCAAAATTCTGTGATATATTATGCCCTGTTGATCCCTGAAGAAAGCCTTTACCTTAACAAATGTAAAGAAGAGAGTCACGAGAGGCTTAGCAACACAGCTCTGAAATGCTTGGAGCAACTATTTCAGATGCAAGAGAAGATCCCTACACCACCTTGCACAAGCATGTCTGACTGAGCTTATTTAGTGGAAATTGAATTAAATAATAAGGAACTGGAGATGAGAGGTTATAAGACATGGCTATGTAATTCAGTCTTTTTCTTATCTGCTTATCTACTCCTGAAAACTAATTCAAAAATCTACAAGAGAAGAAAAAAATATATATACATATATATACATTCCAATTTCATATATATACAAAATGTATATATTTTTTCTTATCTTGTAGATTTTGGATATATACTTCCAAGTATATATAAATGCTTGGAAGAGACATTCAAGTACTTGAAAAGACTACTTTTAAAAATCAAGTTCACTTATGAGTCACAAAATAATATAAATATGAGAGATTTTAGCAGCAAAACCCCATCCACTACAGATCTCAGAATACACCATCAAAAATACACTTCTCACAGGCAAGTGGCCCTCTCTGGGGAGCAAAATATGTACAACGGCAAGTATCAAGTGGGTGTCAAGCTGCACGTTAAATTGGATAGCGTGTTACTACTTTAATACCCTCACTCCTTATTGGTCTGCTTCGTGGTTCACTCTTGGTAAGTTGTATATGTGGAGAAATTTATCCATTTCTTCTAGGTTTTGCAATTTGTTGCAATATAGCTGTTCATAATAGTCTTTAATGAGCCTTTGTATTTCTGTGGTATCACTAATACCTCCTTTTCTGAGTCTTATTTTCTTGGGTCTTCTCCAATTTTTTTCTTAGTCTAGCTAAAGACTTGGTAATTTTATCTTGCCAAAAACACGTTTTTGTTTTATTGATCTGTTTATTGTGAAGTTCATCCCAGAGATCTAAGTAGGGTTCAGCATACACAAATGAAGAAATGTGATACATCCTATTAACAGAATCAAAAACAAAACCATAAGACTCTTTCAATAGATGCTGACAAAGCATCTATTTGATAAAATTCAACATTCTTTTGTGATAAAAACTCTCAATAAACTGAGTATAGAAGAAACAGTCCTCAAAGCCATATATGACAAACCTACAGCTAACACTATACTGAACAGGGAAAAATTGAAAGTCTTTCCTTTAAGATCTAGAGCCAGACAAAAATACGTCCTTTCATCACTTTTATTTAACATAATACCAGAATTCCTAGCCAGAGCAATAGGTCAATGGAAGAAGTAAAGAACACCCAAATTATTTTTAAAGCTTCTTTTCTTTCATTTGAAAAAAGGAAAATAATAATCCTGTTTATAGATGAAATGATTTTATATTTAGAAAACTCCACCAAAAAACTACTAGAATGGATAAACAAAGTAAAGTTGCAGAATACAAAATTAACATAGAAAAATCAGTAGCATTTCTACAAATCAACAATAAGCAATCTGAAAAAGAATTCAAGAAATAACTTTCTTTATTTCTTTCTTCATTCTTTACAAAATATATGAAGAATGAATTTAATCAAAGAAGTGAAATATCTCTACAAAGAAAACTATGAAACATTGATGAAAGAAATCAAAGGGGACATAAAAAATGGAAAGATGTCCCATGCTCATGGATTAAAAGAATTAATACTGTTAAAATGTCTATACTACCCAAAGCTATCTATAGATTCAAGGCAATGCTTATTAAAATACCAATGGAATGCTTCACAGAAATAGA